ACCCATTGCTATCTGCTCTTCTAGTCCCACATGCTTCAACATCTCAAACTCACATTTCGCCTTTTTGTTTGAATTTTTGGTCATCGGGGTTCTACTTTGCTTTAATCCTTTATCCTCCTCTAAGCTTGTCGCCCTTACTTTTCTTTCTTTCACTTGCGTGCACCTTTGCTCTTTTGTGCCTCTACTCTTCTCGCTTTTGCTCTCCTCTACATTTTCTTCTGCTTGTCAAAAGTGTCTCACTTTTTTTCTTCTACCCTCTACTGCCTTTTCTTCTGCATGCTGAAAGTGTTTAGGATTATGGGTAAAACATTGAATCATCAGCATTTCACCACCCGATTATATTATTATTTTTTTACTTTTTTAATTCTTTTGTTTTTTTATGTTTTTCTAATTAATTTTAGAAATCAAATTAAGAGATTAAAAAAATTTAATTTTGAATTAAGCAAAAATATCTTTTTTAAATGGAAAACAACAAGATTTAAGGAAAGAAATTTAAAAATATTGAACTCTAAAAAAAAATTGATTCCCCTGATCTTTGAATTATTGAAATAATCTGGGAGAGATTTTTCAAAATTGATTTTGAAGAAAAATTAAATTTATTTATCTTCTTTATTTTATAATAATTATTATTATTTTTGAAAATATAATCCTAAAAATGATTAAATTTCATTTTTTTATTTTTATATATTTTAGTTGTTTTAATGAACTAAAAGAAATAAAATCCTAACCAATAAAAGTTTATCTAGGTTAAAATAAAATTAAACTCTATTAATTAAAGATTTTTTTTATTTTATTTATATTATTAAAATTTCATTTTTTTGTTGAATTTATTATTATTTTTATTAAAAATGCCACACAGAAGGGAAAAGAAGAGAGAAGCTTGGAGAACTTACCTTTGATGTTTAAAAGTCCCAAAATTCTCCTTAAGTTTCAATTCTTCAAGCCATAGTAGAGCAAATGTCGAGCTCTTCATTTTTCTCTCCCAACTATTATGTTTTTCATCTCAGCTCATGTCTTATTTTTGCAAAAAATGGGCCATGCATCGCGCCGCAACATGTGGTATACAGGAGGCCCTTATCATTTTTTGGCCAAATGCACTGCGACAAATAATGCGTGTGCTGTAGTATGTGGCATGGAAAGATTTTCCTTTGTTTTCCTCCCTTTCTCAATGTCTAGGTGATTCAATTTCACTTTGGACCTAATTTTAAGATTGAAACCACAATAAAAGATACTCATTAGGTCTCTTTAACCATACACTACTTTAATTTACTTAATAAATCTTTATATAATATAGTTAATAGGGATTTAATTTTCTAAGATGTTACATCTATACTATTCACAAAATATTATTTAAGAGATTACAAAGTTTTGACTGGGAAGAGTAATTTTATGTTAGTTGTTCTTTTTTTTTTTCATATTTTGTATTTTTTTGTATATTCAAAAATTCAAGTTTTAATTTCTTTTTTTTTTTGAAAGTTTCAAGAACCAAAAGTTTGGACTGCACAGTAAAATTACAATGCACACTTTAAGTTAAATGTCTTTATTCTCATGTTCTTTTAATTTTTTTTAAATTATGATAAGGAAACTGATGGGATTTTGTATACAGAATATAAATTAGGTGATCTAAATGAAAAAAGGCTACATAAATTATTTGAAATCAAAAGATATCTAATAAGCTTGAATTTTTTTTATCTTGAACTGTTATGAGACCAGTCATGTTATATGATAGTAAATATGAGGTTTTAAAAAGACAACAAGAGTATAAAGTTGAAATAATAAGGATGAAATGTTGAGATGAATTTGCTAGCATACATGAAAAGATAAAATCCTAAAAAAGCATATATAGGAAAAATTAAGTATAGTATCTATTGAGATAAAAATGATAGAAAATCATTTAAAATGATTTAGACATGTACAGAAAAAGTCATGGGAGGCATAGATGAAAAAAGTGGAACAGATAGTCTTTAATCCTTAAAAGAAAAGTACATGAAAACTAAAGAGAATACTCACATAAGTTGTTGAATGAGATTTCTTTGATTAACAATGTTCTCATATGTTTGGCAGATAATAAAACATAATAACATCATAAATGTATATAATCAACTCAATTTACTTTATTGGAATAAGACTTATTGTTATGATTGTATTATTTTTAGTATTGATACTTTTAATTAGAGTTGAGAATAAGGGCCAAGCTTGAAAGGTTGAACTTAGAGGCCCTATTTAGATAAAGGGTCAGGCTTGAAAAAGTAATGGTTTTTTGGAAAATTGAGATTCTAAGCCTGACCCTAATAGGTCCTGAAAAAAGGACTTAGGCAACCCTTTAAGTTTTGTTCCTCAAAAAATTGATGATTTTTCAAGTATTGTATTATCAAAATAATTGATGTTGATTCTTTTGCCATTTATTTTAATACAATATCAACAAATTTTTTATTAGTTTCTTAAACATGATTTGCAAGGTCTATTTTTTAGTTTTGATTAATATTGTACTATATGATACACAAGTTTTTGTATTAATTGAATTTGATAAGGTTGATTTGGATTGAAAATTTCTATCTTCACTTTAAAACTTGATTAAAATTTTATATCTATATTGGTATTTATTTATTTTACTAAATTTTTATTTTTAAAAATAAAATGAATTTAAATAAAGGCCAGGCTTTAGAAATCAATCATCTTTTAAAAAATCAGGCTTAAGGGCTTAAGCCTTTTGTTAAAAATTGTGCCTTAGGGTTAACCATTATACAATAAATATTGTTATTTAATAAATTTTTCTTTTATTATTATATTAAATACATGTTCACTATGATAACTGTGTTCTTGAACAAACTATAGTAATTGTCTTAAATATCCCTGGTCGATCATCTATGAGGGATCATAGATGAAACAAGACTAGTATAACTTTGATTAGTTATAGAAATATAAATTAAAGTCATAGGCACTTAAAAGAGTATAAGGTGTTGGATCGACCTATTATGAGAAAGCTGCATAGTACAAGTCATAAGCTTATTTCATATGTAATCATATCATTAAACCCTTTGACTTGAGATCATTGTGGATTCCTACACGATAACTACTAAACTTTGACCTTTCAAAAGTCACCTTTGATTGGTTGATCATAAAAGGCTATGATTGAGTTTAGTGATATTCATACAGAGGAATATGAGTGGTTAAGATAGAATTTGTCCCTCATGTTAATTGAGAGATATTACTAGGCCTATTGATGAATAAAATTAAGAAAATGTATAGTCATATTATAATGGAAAGAGTTTTTTCATTGTTATGTTAGTCCACTCGCAGATTGAGAAAATGATAATTAGGTAAAGGAAAATAATAATTTTATGTCTCATATTTGACTGAAATATCGCGTGCAACAGGGATGTGATATGGTTATATGATAGGTTTCATTGGATCATTGATATCTATATGAATTGTGTAGTTACAATATCTCACTAGAGGCTATTTGTGACTTGTGGGCTAATAGTGTAATTAGCATACTGCTAACTTTATATGGGTTTACAGGATCGCACACAAGAACAGCTCAACTCGAGCTATAATGTCTAAGTTAATTGAATTTGTAATATGTCTAGATTCAATGAATGTAATATATGGGGAATGAATTATATATATATATATATATATATTTATATGAAATATAAAATTTAAAATATAATTATATATATATATATATATATTCAAAATATATATGTATATGTGTGTGTGTGTGTGTATAATATATAAAATTCAAAATGTAATATAATATAATATTAGATAGATTTTATTTATGAGATAAATTTAACCTAATATTTTCATTGGCTCATTAAAGGAAAGCAAAACCCTAATTTATAAATAAGATAGAAAAAGGGACATGTTTTAGGAGTTTTTAGAGAGTTAGAAAGTTCTAACGGTCAAAACACTTTAAGAGTTATGAAATATCCTGAAGAAAAGTAAATCGACATTCAAAGATGAACAGATGTTAGGAGTATTAGCATGTGGTTTGAGTTAGAGAGCTGTTCATGTGAATACCGGTAGAGGAAGCAGATCTATACTGTTAGCTCTTGAGATTCAAACTTTTAAAGATAACACATGAGAATTAGAAATTCAAAAGGTGACTTTTTTATTCACCTTGACTTAAACGAGTTTGTTTGGTCTACATTGGGATAAGGATTTAAAAATTTTAATCTTTTATTATGCTTTTTTATCCAATACCTTTAAGGGTGGGCTCATAAAAGCCAAGCCCTTAAGGTCTAGCCCACTCATTTTCCCACATGTGCTTTTTGTTCATGATTATTTACTGTTGTCAATTTTTTTTGGGTTAAAAGTACACACTTGTTGCCATTAAGCTGTGGCTGTGTCTATTTAAAAAACAGTATAAGATATAAAAAATAATAATAATTTTTTTAAAATATATAAATAATAATTTAATCATTTAAAATGACATAATTCATCAGAAGTCTTTAGAGACTTTTTTGTCATTAATGATTTTATATAAACTACCAAATTACCCTTTTTAAAAATAAATAATTCATAAATTTTATTTAAATATTCACAACTTTTTTTTTATATTTATAACAATACAATAATAAATCACAACTTTACATATTAAATTTTTTATTTGCTATTGTATTATTGCAAATATAAGAAGAAAAGTTGTAAATACTTAAACAAAACTTGTAAATTATTTATTTTTAAAAAAAATAATTTAATAATTTATATTAATTTATTAATGATAGAAAAACTTTTAGAAATTATGACATCTTGGGGGATTAAATTATCATTGATATATTTTCATTTAAAAAAAAAAAAAAAGAGGAAGGAAGCATACCCTGGAGCACATAAAGCATCAAGACAGGAATGAGTCGGAGTCTGAATGTATGTATGGACACAATTTCTTTACTTGTGAAATTGATCATGGCAGGCAAAATCGCAGTCACTTTCTTTTATTTATTAATTTATTAATTTATTCGCGCTTTGAAATTTATGGTAGCCAGTTGAGTTGGATCAAACTCGCAGTCAGTCAGTATTTAACGAAAAGCAGCGAGGACTGGACACGACGACGCCATCTTTATTAATTAATTCTACGAAGATACAAAATCAATCGTCTCTCTCGGAGGAGAGGGGGGAGGGGATCGGAGAAAATGGGGGATGCGAGGAAAATAGTGACGGTGGTGGAAGATGTGGAAGCAGCTAGAATTGCTCTTCGATGGGCTCTTCATAACATCGTCCGCTACGGTGATTTAATCACTCTACTTCATGTCTATCCACACACAAGATCCAGAAGCAAAAACAAAGCTCGTCTTCTTCGTCTTAAGGGCTTCCAGTTAGCCCTCTCCTTCCAACACATCTGCGATACCTTCCCCAGTGTAAGCCTCTTCCGTTTGCAGAATCAAGGATTCTGTAGAATTAATTCCAGTGTTCTTCTATTACTGTTTTTTGCTTTTGCAAACTAATGGGTATGTGCCATAATCTTGGGGTTGTGTTGCAGACAAAGGTTGAGATTATTGTCACCGAAGGAGACCAGGAAGGGATCAAGATCGCCGAAACCGTGCGTGAGATTCAAGCTTCGATGCTCGTCGTCGGGCTCCATGATCGTAGTTTTCTTTACAAGTAAGTCCGATGCCAATACAATATCACATATTCCGAGTTTTGAGCCAAGTTCCAATGGGCGTATGAGAATTAAACTCTACCCGTGCTATATTAGACACAATATAGTCATGATGTATGATCACTTGACAGTGACGGTGACCTGCTTTTAATAGATGGGACCTCGGTGTTTTTATAATTTATAGCGTTTGGGACAAATTCAAATTAGATTTCTTCATCGTCATGTTTATTTGATTGATGATCAGTGAATGTTGTATGGATTTATTACGGAGAAAAGAAGAAAAGGGGTTGAGCTTCGGATTGAAAGGTCAACCCCTACCTTACGGGTAATGGGTTATCATCACTTAGCTGCTTGCTCTGAAACCAGTTTTACTCTCTCCTCTGTGCCTGGCTTCTGTAAGATTATAACATGGGTTAGTGGGACCTGAGTTTAGTATTTGTCTATGGTCAACCGTGTTCTCTTCTTGGAACGGAGGAGTATCCTGTTGAGCCTCAGAAATTTGTCACACAGAACTTTAGCACTTGCACGTCCCTTTTTAAGGATGCGTGATGACAAAAAGAAGCCGAAGGCTATTGGGCCCCACCCTTTGAATAGAAACTAATAATACAGTCGTTTTAGAAATTAACATTTGTATAAAAAAAAAGAAATTAATTTAATGAATTTGATAGAATATGGGGACACTTTCTTTGTTTTTTTTTCTTTGAAAAAAATCTCTCTTGCTCTGACGGAGAAACCACCTTGGTTGAGTCAAAAAGTGAATGGCCGTGTTCAACCTTCCCCTTAACGCGTCATATTGATCAGGAATCTTTACTGAATGCTATCTACATATGGCAAGCATATCTATAAATTTGGCCGACTGATTTAAATATTTGCAGAAATTTAACTGCATTTAGCAAATACATACCTACTATTGACATTTATTGAAGTTGGTGCCTCACTCCGATGTGTAGTGGCTTGCCTTTTGGCCATTTAGTAATTAGCAATTAAATATTCTAGGAGAAATTTCCCAACTGAAAGCAGTTTTTCATTTTTTATATTCATTTGGCATAGGTCGGCAATGTCCCATAACAATATTGCCAGCAACTTCAACTGCAGAGTACTTGCCATCAATCACCCTCCTGCGTCACCTTTGAGGCCCGTGGTTTCTGCAGCAGCAGTGCTAGACAGCTCAACCAACATGGACTTTTCTCAGATCGATCTTTCTACATTACAGTAAGTCCCCTGAAAATCCATCTCCATCACCTCTCAACAGTATGTCAACGCCTTGGATTATTTATCTTATCTACCCAGTACGAGGGGAACAATTATTTAGAACCTAACTGCTCCGCCTTCTTCAGAGGGAGGATTTTATTAGACATTTTTCTGAGAGTTTTATGCGACTGGTCTACAAATAGTTACATAAATATTAGAGCAGTCCTGCTGAAAATATACCAACCGTTGTTATGTAAAGTTGCTTCTTTTTTTTTTAAAAAAGAAAATTATGTGATAGTTTTAAATTTTAATTTGGATCGAGCCGAAGTGTCTAAACTATTATAGTGTCCAAGTGAAGTATACGGGGGTGAGAAAAATTAAAATAAAGATATGAAAATGGTAAAAATATTTTTAATGATATTACCATACTTGACCGCTCTAGGAATCCAGGCAGTTGATTGGATCAAAATTCCTGCTTCTTTAACAAGCCAACAAATTTTCTTCAATTTCTTGGAGTGTTGGGCTCTCAAACTAAATAGTTTAAATGATGTTTATTCATGCTAGTAGGGTGTACCGGAGACTGGAGTTTAAACTCTGCTCTAAGAGGGCCGGGGGCACTTAGAGAGTAGTTGTGATATAATGAAATTTCCGCTTTCACATGATGATGTGAAGGCAACATTCATATAAATGAATATATTCACGAGAAGATCAGGTCCCCTTGTGAAATTCGAATTATAAATGAAGCAATTAATGGCATAAACACGCAACTAGGAGATTTGTTGATGCATAGGCCTCTAATAGAGCAGTTTTAGAATGGAATTGCAGGGTACCAGAAACCCCTCGAACAAAAATTCCATACCGAATCTGCCCCGACCCGTCTGCAATTTTTTGGAGATCAAGGAGGAGGTGAGACGCCGAGCAGGAGAAGTTACCAGATGATCGAATCACTTTCCTCCATATTCTTATTCTTTTCCAATTGAATATGCCCCAGAAACAATCTGGGCCATGATTTTTCTTTCAATTTATGTTCACCTGCCATATCGATAAGAAAGAATGTTGACATAGAAAAGCTTTCTTTTCTCTTTCTTGTTCCCCCCCCCCCTTCTTGGGTCATTGTATGGCTTTGTTGTTTGTGACTACATTTTCAGGACGCGAGGGGGAAAAAAGAAGAAAAGGTAACCATTTGTAGAGCCATATATTATATATGTATATATATATATATATATTGCAATAGCATTTTCCTTCCTCCCGGTCTTTATCTACCTCTTCCAGTGTTTCTTGTACCTTTTCCCCTCGTTAGTCACCCGCACGCACGCTCATAGCACTGCTAGCAGGTAGGGCCGGGGTGTGCATGGGCTGGATTTCACCAAGCTTGGTGCCCGGCCTAAATCACATATTGGGCCTAGTCGATGTGTAGATTTGGGTCAGGTGTGGCCTGAATTATATGTGTTTAATATTTATCCATTAGTTTTACATAATATTGAGTTTAAAATTGAAAGAATAAAAAAAATTCATGATTAAATATATTATATGAAAATTTTAATAAAAAGAAATAATTAAAATTAAAAATATGTATGTATCCGGGCCAATCCTTGCTAGATACCTGAATCAAATAGCTCAGGGTAGGATTGGGCAATCGGTCCACTTGCATAGCCTACTAGGGCAAGGAATACGAGCCATGTAGCCAACATGGTTTGTATTGATCAACATGATAGTGGTCTTAACATCTTAAGTATCATTTCACAATTTAATTTTTTGAGGTATGCATGAAAAAACATTATTTAGGAGAGGATAACCTTTTAGATGACGTTCAAATTCTTTAAGGGATTAATTTCATGACTACGGATTGTGAAGATACCTTAGGCAACCAAAAGAAAAAAACAAAACAGGAGTTGATTTAATTAGTAAAAAATTAATTCATAATATTTGAGATTATAGAATTAAATCTCACAGCTGATATGAAAATTTTATTAATGAATGATTTGTAAGTACATTTATAAATGCTCTTTAAGCATAGAAGTATCTTCTGGCGTTGGTGAGTGTCCGGACTAACTCATATGATTTTTTTTAAAGTAAAAAAATAAACATGGTTTATCTTGAATTTTTTTTATTGGGATGGACTTGAAAAAATTTGTTCAAAAATGACAAAAAAGGTTTTCAAGTTCAAGTTTAAAAAGACCGTATTAAAACGGGGTTTTACATGGGCTAACTCAGAAGCTCGTTTTTCATTTTGTTTCTCTGATAATTCCCAAAGTTTGAACCAACAATAATCTTATTATCCAAGTTTTTTTTAAAATATAAATGCATAACACTAACAAGGACTAAATGTCTAACCTAATAGAAATTATCCCTAACCTTACTTTATTTCTAATTTTATTTTTTAATTAATAAATGCTTAACGCTAATGGTAATATCCTTATTCATTTATTTATTTTGTTTAATTTTAGAACATTTACATCGTGTTGTATATTTTTTTGTCCTTGAAAAAATTATAATGGGAAAATTAACCTAATAAAGATGAACCCTCACCATACTCTATTTTTTAATTTTATCTTTTTAATTAATAAAAGCTAAACGCTAATGGTAATCTCCTTATTCATTCATTTATTTTGTTTAATTTTAGAACATTTGTCTTGTGTTGTATATTTATTTGTCCTTGAGAAACTTATAATGGATTTTTTTTTCCTTTGCCATCGTAAGGGTCCGTTTGGTTTTTCTCCGTTTCACGTTCAGAAAGCAAAATTTTACTTTCAGAAAGTTGAAAGTTGTTTGGATAAAATATTTGGCAGAAAAGCACATCTTGAAAGTACATTCAAATAGTAGCTGAAAGTGGATTTCTGAAACGTAACTATCTGAAGCTTTTGAAAAGTGGATTTGAAAAGTAGGATGTTATTTGATCATACTACCCTAAGTTTAATCTCTTATTTTTTTATTTAAAAAATAGTTAATTTATTAAAAATATAATTATTATTTTAATAATAATAATTAGGTATCAATTTTTTTAGTATTATAAATTGAGTAATTAATCATGTTAATTTTTAGCATTAATGTATATAAAAATTACAAATCTTTATTACATCTTTTAAAATTACAAATTAAAAAATACAAATAATTGAGATCAAATTTTTAGCATTATAGATCAAAATTTATGTTATTTATAATCTTTATTACATTTTTTAAATATTTTGAATATATTACATTTGTATAATAAAAATTATAAATCATTATAAATCAATGTCCTTTTTGGTAATTGTACATTCAAAAGCACATTTCACTATCACAAACCAAACAACTTTCAATGTATCAAACTGACTTTTGAAAAAATATATTCAAACACAAATTTCGTTACAACAATTGACTTTCATTAAACTGACTTTCCCCAAATGAACTTTCACCAAATGAACTTTTGGCAAACTGAAAACCAAACGCACACGTAGTTTTAAGATCCTTAAAGCTCAGTTCCTTAGATGTAAACTCAGTATAATTCAATTTATATACTTATGACTCCTTTAAAACTCGGTTTCTTTTGTTTGCATCATTTATATTTTTTTTCTTGTCATTCACAACTCATGTGCTCGCTAAGTCCTTCAACATGGTTAAGAAAAAAAAAAAAAAACATTACTAGCATCGTTAAAGACTACCCTCATGTTTTTCAATCAAGGATGAATCCAGAAACAAATCCATGGAAGGAAAAAGTGAAAGCTACTTAAAATATGGGAACCAACGGTAACTTTTACATTTTTTACAAGTAAAAAAAAATTTCCAAGGATCAATGAAATTGGGGGGAGGGGGGGAATATGTCACTGCTTCCAACTCAATTCCATGTGTTTTTGAAATAAATAAAAAATAAGGCTTCTTGCTTGGAACACTGAATCTCTGCCGTTTCCCACACTAATCGTGCCATTGACCTTTCATTTGAAGCACTGAATCATACAGCAACATCCTCACCATGTCGGCGTCATCTTCATTTTGAGAACTTGTATGACTCAATCATTTTGGATGTATTGTTATTTCGAGAGCACTATGAGCTCTGCTCCAGCATCCACCGTCTCAAGCAGCAATTATTTGTTTAGGTAAAGTGAAGGATAAATGAGACATATCTAAAACATGGGAATTCAATCGCTTCAAAATATAAATAACTTGAAAAGGGAGGAGCCATTAATTAAAATAATAATACTAAGGTGGCATATGCTCTAGAAGAGAGTGAAAACATAATTGATCATAAAAACCATAGAAGAAGTTTAGGTACATAAAAGAAATAAAGAGAAATCTCATATTCTATCCCAAAAGATGCTCTAATGGTTATAAAAGAAGAAGGGTTAAAATGCAAATCTATTTTGAAAGTTTTTAATGAGGAGCAATTAGTATTCTAAAGTATTTAAATGTGTAATGTTGCCCCTGCTATTTTAAAAATGATGTAATGTAGCCTGAACTAACAGATTTAAAATGTTTGATCGTTAATTGACCTGACCTTGCTTAGGTGATATTGCACATGGCTTCCGCCTCACTCTTTTTATAGACCCCTCTATTTAAAACTCTTCCTTATGCTTACTCTGTCATCGATATTTCCTTCCTTATCTTCAATCTTCATCTCTCATCATTGATGAGCATTCAAATCCATAAACATAATCAACATTTCATATTCACATTTCACAACAAATAAACAAAACAAAATAAAAAATAAAAACCTCTTTTAGAATCGCCTTGCTCAAGTTTCTTGCAAGAATCCATAAATCGACGCCTCAAAGACCATGGCATCGTGTGAAATGCCTAAATCGTATCGGTTTCAAATTAAATTAAGTAGACACCCTAATATGCATTGGGCACAACCTAGGTCGAATTCCCTAGTGAGTTAGATTAAAAACGACTATCAAATGTGCTAAAAACAACCATGGAAATTTGTTTGATTGATTTTCTAAAAATGAAATTAAAATTCTAACTAGTGTTTATGCAATTTTTGGTTTTAAAAGAAAATGAGTGAACAAATGAAAATGTGTTTGCAATAATCAATGGAAGTGATTCCTAGGAGTACGATGGTGAAGAAATCCTCGTTCAACAATTAAATTGCTAAGGAAATGCTCTCATTGGCCAAATGTAGTGAATTAAATTAGCATTATTAAGCTCCCAATGTGTTATTGGTTGATTAATTGGCTTAGAACAATACCTAACTAAGAATTAATTCCAAATTAATTTTAATCAGAACTTGTTGAGGCCTCACAATGTAACTATACAATTACTAATGCCAAGAATACTCAATAATTTATCACAATTATACATTAAACAATTTTTTTTTATCGAAAAGGGATAATAACATTAAACAAAAGCAGAGTAACATAATTCATGGCCATAAACCATTGGCAAGAGCTTGAGTCTTGGAAGGGCAAAGTAGAAAGAGGGAGTGAAGGTTCAAGAACCTAGCCCGAAGGTTCCACTCCCTTTAAAACAGAGGCAGCAAGATAATCCGCAACAGTATTTCCTGATCGTCGAACAAAGGAAAAGTGAAGTGACATAAAGGACTCAAAACTCTTGATCAGATTTGCTAAAAAACTATGGAAAGACTAATTACATTGATTCCACCTTTTAGTTGATAAAGCTTTATAAAGGTCCTGACAATCTACCTTAATAATAAATTTTTGAGTACTTTTAGAAGATAACAAAGAGATAGCTTTTTGACAAGCAAGTAGCTTAGCTTAAAACTAGAAGATGCATTGATTGTTTGGCACTAGCCCTTGATGAAACCATATGAGTGTTCACGCCAAACAATGCTAATGCCAGCATTTCTAGAGGATGCTGAATAAGAACCATCACAATTAACTTTAATTTCATTTAAAGAGGGAGGAAGCCAAATATGAAATGCAAGATCAATATTAGTAATAGAAAGAGTTTCCTCATATGTAACAAAACAAAACTTAGCAGTCGTAGCATTTGTTGTGGAAACAACAGTAAATTATAGCACCAGAGAAGATAGAGGCAGACTTTAACTTTCAAATATTCCAATAAAGATTTGCAATGTACATCTTACCATAATCATCCAAAATAGAATCTTAGAGAAAAAAGTTGCTGCACCAT